CTGCTTGGGCATCTCAGTCTAATTAGCCCTTTAGGACTGCGGTTTCTGAACATTTCCATATGGCTTAATAACAGAAGAAAGAATAACAATCTAGTATCCATATACCACAGTAGTCTCCTCGGAACTACACTGTCCAGCTTGATGCTTGCTCTCAGAGTGATAGTTTCCTAGGTGTGGACCCAGCAGTGGAGCAATCAAAGCAGATTCATTCAATAATTAAGCAAATAGTAATTGACTACTCGGTGTCAAGCAATGTCTCAGATACTGGAAATAAGGTAATGAACAACTCAGTTAAGAAAATCTCTGCTGTGGTGAGACATTAAGATAGTGGGAGTAAAGCTGAGATACGATGTTTTGTACCCACTAGTGCTACAGGTCATAATGGAAGCTTCTAGCAGCAGGAATTTTTAAACTAAGGCTCAGATGAGTTGTTATGATGGGAAACTCAAGTCAAGGGAAGAATCCCATTCACCAGAGTGGCCTAAAAGGGATTCTAGAATGCTGATTTTTCGAGCGCGGTTGATGACCTTGTTTAGAAAGCTGGTCTAATGGCATGCTTCCAGGATTTGTCAGTTCTCAGTAAGGATTGATTTGTCTAAAAGAGTGCAAGTCCTTCTTCCAATAACAGAATTCAGGCCCAATGAAAGGGAGTGAGGAAAATAAGGTGTGGGAGTAATCAGGGGACCAGAGCTGGGCCCTTTTCCCAGCATGACACTAGAGCAATAATGTGGAAGGAGGAAACAGATCAGAACACCTGTCTGGTACCAGGTGTTGAGTCCAGAAGTTGTAGGCTTACATACATACCTGTCCTCTGGACTCTTGCTCAGGGACAAAAATGCTTTCAAGCCACACAGACAAGTGTTGTAATGATAGGAGCCTGAATTAGAATCTTAGCTCCACCTCTTAGTACCTCTGAGAACTTGTTTCTTATCAATACTCTTTGATTCCCTGAGACTTGTTCACTTCATCTTTAAAATGAAAGTAATCCTATTTATCTCACAGTCTGTGAGAATTAAAAATGAATGAATGAATGAATGAATAAATGAGCGAGCGTCTTACCAGGCAGAGCAGTTGCACTCGGGGAAGTGGGCAGGGACTTGTGCTGAGTACATGCTAAATTCAGTGCCTCCCTATCACCTTTGTAGCTAAGGGTCAGATTTCAGGGAGTACTGACTTGGGAACCAGCAGTAATGACACCAAATTTAAACATTATCTTGTTTACAGTTTTGCTATTGGTCCTGCTTCTGTCCTTCTCAAGATCACAGTCAGGCTTGAGATAAATGTTGGTCTAGCCCCACCATTTGCTAGCTGTAGGAACTTGAGCAAGTTACTGAAACACTCTTGGCCTTGATTCTTCTCAATGTTTGCTAATTATATAAAATTGTTGCATCTATGTTCACAAGTAAAATGACTTATAGTTTACTGTGTCCTTGAACAATTTAGTCATCAGTAATAAATTAGCTTCATAAAATAAGTTGGGGAAAATTTCTTTTTGTTGCTTCTCTGGGATGGCTTGCATAAAATAATTAGACCTTGTTAGTGTTGCTATACCTTGAAAGATTGACAAAATTTGCTACTAAAACTATCTTTTAATTTTTTTGAGGGTAATTATTTGATGACTGAGTCAATTAATAAAATAATTGTATCCATGTTCTTTAAACATTTATTCTAGACAATTTTGATAATCTATATTTTTCCAGAAAATTGTCCTTTTTTCTAAATTTTCAAATTTAATATCAAATTGTTTATATAATTATATTATGTATAAAAGCTTGTGCTGCTATGTTTTTTTTTTTTTGTATCCAAAATGTGTTTATTGGGATGCTTCCTCACTCATCTTGACTCAGGGGTCTTTTAGTGCTGCTTCCTTCTGAAGGAGCATCCTTCTGTAAGCCTTGTTTTTCCTCCTGTGGGCGGACAGAGGACCGT